GCCCCCTGGTGCTGCTGGGAGGGTGCTGAGCAGAGGGTCCTCCCCGCCCTCCAGCAGCTGGTAACCATGGTAACATGGGGAGCTGTTGGCGTTCCCAGCCACCTGCTGGGCCATAGGAGTGCCGAGTCCTGACAAGCCCCAGGGTCCACTTGGGTGTTTGGGGACCAGTGGGGGCAGGCAGGGAGCCCTCGGCCTGGCACCCTACCCTCAGTCCCTGAAGGGAGCAGCAGTGCCTGTCCTCACACCCAGCGGCTCCCTGGTGTCCAACACAGACTCAAGTCCAGCCTACTGTGCTCTGAGACGTTGTGGCGTTGCGTCCTAGGCTGCTGCAGCCAGCAGCCTCAGGAGAGTCCCACTGGGCGCCTCCACTATGTGCTGCTTGCACCCCACGTCCTCCTAGGAAGAGGGGAACTGAGGCTAGGGAGGACCCCGTACCTGTTGGTGCAGCGGGGGTCACATCTGACTGAGCCCCTCAACAATGTCTGAACTGCACCCTCCACGTTGGCCATTTCCGCCCATGTCTGGCCTCTCCAGACCGAGGGGCCCGTGAGGATGGGCCGCACCTGTCCCCGCACACAGCTTCTTCTGCTGAGCCAGGACGAGGCAGCTGCCCCGACTCGGGGCAGTCAGAGAAGGGAACCTCCAAGCAGAAACCAGAGCTGCACGGGTCCTCCCCAGCACCCTCCCAGGGATTGCACACGCAGGCAGGCAGCCTGGGCTTGGGCCCTGGGGAGCCTGCATCTGTTGTGCGGGGTGGCCCAAGACCATATACAGAAGGCTCCATCCCCTTGGGCCAGGTGTACACTTGAGGGACCCAAGCTGATCTCACAGACCGGAAAGAGCCCAGATGCCTCAAACTAGGGTCCCGCCCTTCCAATGCTCCCCCACACCGAGTCTCTACCCATGCGTTGCATCCAGGGCTCCAGGCCACAGACAGGTATCTAGACAGGCTCTAGGTCACTCTGTGGCCCTGCCACTGCCCTCTCTGTCCACTTCGCCCCTGGAGCTGACTCATAATGTGCCTGTCCCCCCAGATGCACTTTGGACCATGCCCAGGCGAGACCATTCCTGCCCTGGCACCCAGACCATCTCCCTGGGGCTGGCCCTGGGTTCCGAAGAAGGCACCTGGGGTGCCCAAGGCTGACTGCACCCCTAAGGGACCCTGAGCAGGGCTCCTCCCCCCCAGGGCAGGCAGGAGATAGAGTCCCACAGGACCAGGTGCACAAGGCCCACAGTCAGGGCAGCTGTGGTCCTGCAGCTGGCATCGTAGTCAGACCCACATCCCCCACCTGGCATCTGGCCACACGGGGACCACCTCCCAGCCACTCAGCCTGCCTTGTCTCCACCTCAGCTATAGCCACTGTGGGCCCAAGGCAAGCACTAATTGCTTAGGTCATTCCTTGGAACTGCAGTGCCAACCAGAGCCCCGCATGGAGGGTTCCCCAGCGGTGGCAGAGAGAGAAGGCCGAGCTCCTGGAGCTGAGGGCCTCAGGCAGAGGGGCTGGACCTCTTAGTGCCAGCCCTCACTGCAGGGAGTGGGGTCGTGCACTGCATTTGACTGGGACTTGCTGAGAATGATGACGACCATCACTGTCACCATTTATATTGGCAGCTGGCATTTGTGGGTTTGCTCTCTGTTAGCCCCCCTGTGTAATAACTTAAATGCAATTACTTTTTTGAGTACTGGGAGTTGAACTCAGGGTGTTTGCACTGAGCTATATCCCTAGCTTTTTTTTATTTTGAGATAGGGTCTCACTAAGTCATTCATTTCCCCAGGTTGGGCTTGATCCTGGCAAACTTCCTGTCTCGGCCTCCCGGAGTGCTGGGATTACAGACATGCCACCAAGCCTGGCTTTTTACCAGGTCTGGATATGTAGTCCAGGCCAGCATTGAACCCTCTGTGTAGCCGAGGCTGACTTCAGACTCACCGTCCTCCCGCCTTCATGCCCACTCCCCTGAGTGCTGGGATTACAGGCGTGCATCATCTCATCTTGCATGACACTTACTCTGGTCTTCCAGCCACCCCCAGGCAGCCACTGGCTGCCTCTGCTTCTCAGGGACCAGGGGTCCTGAACTTGCCTGTGGGCCCCGCACCAAGCCCGAAACCACCCCATGAGCCAGGTGGGGGCTCACTAGCCTGGTCCAGGCCAGGCCACTGGGGTGCCAAGGAGGGGAAAGGGCCTGCTTGTCCCCACTGTTGGCTGCAGGCTGTGCTTCGGGGCATCGCATTCCACCTAGGCGCCCCTCCCACTGGCACACCTGGACCCCGCCCTTCCCCACCCCACCTTGCAGCACAGGGACTTGGGGGGGGGCACGGCATGTCCTCCTGTTCTGACATTCACCCGGGACTTTCACCTTTTTCACTCTTTCTGCAGCATTGCTTTGTGTCTGACTGGCCAGGGTGAGATGGTATCAGTGGGGTTTCTGGATCCCAGACCCCAGACCTGTGCTTCCCAAACACTGTGCCACGTGTGCCCCCAGAAGCTACGCCAGCTCCGTGTCGCAGTCTTAGCGCAGCCTCACCAGTGTTTTCGCTGCTGTTTTCATTTGAAAGCATATTTTCCTGTCAGTTACATGATGGCGAAGGCTCAGTACCTGACCGTTTTCTTTTGCAGACCTTTTTACTCAGCGGAGGCTTTAATGTGGAGGAGTAAAGCTGTCTCGCAAACTGCTGGTGCAGCGCCACATGGGCAAGTTATTAATCTTTCATGCCTCTGTCACGTGGTGCTGGGACCACAGTAATCCTCTTTGAGACCAGTCATTATTTATTCTTACTGTCCCCCGGAGAGCAGGGAGGAGCCCCAGCGCCTGAGTCTCAAATACAGATGCAGGGAGAGCTGTAGAAAGTCCTGCAGTCCTGCCCGAGATAGACCCCAGGAAAGGCCACTTCCCCTAAAAGAAAGCTGCTTCTCACCCTCATGCATCCAGCAGGAGGGAGAGGGCTTTGGGTAGGACAGCATGTGATTGTCGCCCATCCACAGTCTCCCGTCCTCAGTCTCAGTTACTCTGCATATGCCTTGGCTGAAAATATTAAGTGGAAATTAGCAGAAATAAACAACCCGTAGTTTTAAGTAATTCCTATGATAGTATATTGCTGTACTTGTTCGATTCTGTTACGTGGTGCTACTCTTGCCGTACCTAATTTATAAATAACTTTATCATGGGAACATGTGTATAGGGAAAAGCGTTGCACGCATAGGGTTCAGTACTATCCACTTTCAGGCATCTGCTGGGGGCTTGGAACATGTCCCCCAGGAAGAAGGGGACACCACCATATTCATTTCCTAGAACCACAATCAGCATGGCTCCAAAGAGCCTTCTGTATTTTCTCACAGTCCAGGAAGCTGGAAGTCCAAGATGGGTGTGGGCAGGGCTGGTGCCTTTGAGGGGCTCTGGGACATGGAGAAAAGGCCTCTGGGCTCTTTGGCTTCTGGTGGCCGCCACCATCCCAGTGGCTTGTAGACGAATCACCTCCACCTCTTCCCCATCTCCTCTGTGCCTGTCACCTCTTCTTACATTGAAGGGAAAACCCACTGTAACCAAGGTGACCGAGCTGCAGTAGTCTTACCTGAAATGTCTGCAGAAACCCTTTTTGGCAAATGAGGTCACATTCACAGGCACTAGGGTCTGGGACCTGGACGCTCTACTGGAGGACACGTTTCGACCCACTACAGCAGGTTTCTGGTGCCGATTGCCAACCCCAACCCTGGTGCACCTTCAGAAGCGTCTGTGGCTTGTGTTCCTTTCCTGTGGTGCTTTGCCCACCCCACCCTGGCAGGGATTGCATGCGGAGAGCAGCTGGCTGAAGCTAAGGGAGAGGTGGGTGTGGACCAGTATGGAGCAGAGTCCCATTGGATCACAACTTGCAGAAGCCAGCTGTGGAACTAGGAATGGAACCCAGTATGGGTCTCCTCTGTCCCCTCCTGCTCACGGGCATGGGAGGCCGAGTCCTCTCCAGGTTAAGGGGACTCAGAAGCCTGGGCAGGTGGCGTGAGGACCACGTACAGAGAGACAGCGAAGCATCTCACTGGGCAGGCAGGGTTCTCAGGGTGAGCCCACTCTTCAGGATGCCAGCCTGTGCTTCCCAACCGAGGGGTGGATTTGTGCTCCAGACTTGAGGGAGGCCCAGGGATGGGCATCTCAGGGGCTGCGTTCAGGTGATCCTAGAAAACAGCAGCATCAGGAGCAAGAGGCAGATGTTCGGACGGGCTGCCTGGCCAGCATTTCTTCCAGGCATCTGACTCCCTCTCTGCAAATGGAACCAGGTCTTTGCACCGGGTCTTCCAACATTGTGGCTGAGGTCTCCCTGCCATTCACTAGTAGGGTGGGATCAGGTCAGCATGAGGCCCCTGGGATCCGCCGGGACCCTCAGCTTATTCGGTGCCAGACACTGTGCTAGGCACAGCAAGGTGCCTGGCTGGACTCGTCAGCTGGGAGTAAGCAGCTCCCATGGAGAAGAAGAAGCTTGCAGTGTCGCACCACTCCCACTCCCGAGCAGGCCTCTTGGCCGGTGGAGGGTCACCCCCAGGTGTGGTGAGTCCAGAGCTCGAGAGAGACCAAGAGAGACAGACAGACAGACAGACAGAGAGGGAGGGAGGGAGCCCAACCACACCTGGGGCAAGAAGATCAGGTCTCCCGGACTGTTTGCTTGATGGCACAAGAGGCCACTTGGGTAAATGACACCCTCTGAAATTGCCTACCGCAGAAACACCAGGCCACTGGCCTCTCCTCCTCCCAGCCTAGGGTACCAGCAGTCAAAACCCACCCCCTGCAGCTGGGCAGCCAAGACAGCAGCCGGGAGTCGCCTCACCCACCGTCCCCTGTCCACCCGGCCTGGGCAGCCCGCTCCCTGCCCTGCTGAGTCAGGCTCTGAGGCGCATCCTCATGGGGAAGGATTCTTCCTTCCTCCCCACCCCCGCTGGCTTTTCCTGCTTTGGCTCCCTGAAAGTCTCACTCTGGCCCAGAGAGGAGACTCAGCATTTTCTTTCCCTTTGTGGCAGATGCTCCAGAAAGGAGCAGAGCCTTGGGCTCTGCCGGCACCGCGCAGGCCTGGCACGGGCATCGCTGTTGCTCTCGCCCTTGGAGTCTCCCGGAACCCCCAGCCAGCCCTCACCAGCTCACAGGCCCTCCTGCTGCACGAGGAGCTTCCATCCAGGTAGATGCGGCTCAGCGTGGCTGGGAGCGGCTGGGATCGCTGCAGGGTGGCGAGGTCCCTGCAGTTCAGTGTGGCCTGCGGGTGCTGCCTGGAGTCCTCTAGGCTTGCGTGGCCACCCGAGGGTGCTGGTGAGGATGGCACGGGGCACTGCCTCCCTAGGGATCCCCTCGCTGGCACTGATGGGCAGGGTCCTGGAGGTGGCCATTAGCACCCTGCAGGCGGTTCCTGCTTGGTGTGAAGAGCCGGGCTTGGGTTTCACAGTGAACACTGTGAGCCAAGGCCCCGCGCAGTGTGCTGGTGCCCCTTCACCCTGCCAGTGGTCCTCGGGCCACCCCGAGGACAAGGACGGTCCCCTGTTCCTCTGTTCATCCTGTCCACCTCTCAGGACAGGACCCACCAGCCCGACAGCGGCACAGGGGTGAGGGGTAGTCTCGGTGAACGCCAGGGAGAGGAGAGGAAGCTGCCCTGGGGTGCTGGGGGCACCCCAGAGATCGGCCCATACCCACCAGCTGGCTGTGTTTAACCCTGAAGCTGCCCCTGGGCACTGATAGTTCCAGAAGGCCTTGGGCTGCCTGGCAGGAGATGCCCCACCCTGGCTGTGGCCTGGGCCCCAGAAGAAGACTCCCAGCAGCCCTGCCCCATCCATTCCTCCGGGGGTCACCACAGCAATGGCTGTTAAGACAAAGAACTGGCCCGGCCCAGGCCTGGAGGGCAGAAGGCCGTGGTGCCTGGGGCGCCCCCCAGGGGAGAAGGTCCACCTCCCCACCCATCCCAGCTGGATTATCAGGTCCCTGGAGGAGCCTGGGGGTACCCGACCCAACGCAGGCGTCCTGGGCTGGGTCCTCACCTGCCCTTCAGAGCATCTGCTTTCACAGCAGCCTTAGGATGCCCAGGGGTGGCCTGAGGTGGCCTTGTCCTGAGGTTCAGACACGTCCACCAGCAGGAAGCTCAGGCCTGCACAGGCGAGACCCTCACCAGTGTCTCTGTGCAGATGAGCAGACCGCAGGTTGGCTGCATGTGTGCACACGTGCACACGTGTGATCAGTTGTGCCCCCAGCCTAGACTCCACCTAGGCTGTCTCACCAGGGCTGTCCTGGAACACGCTGTCCTGCCTGGGTTCTGGTCTCTCCCTTGATTCTCTTGATCAACGTCCAGTAATGGGAGGAACTCAACACGCTTTCGCAAAAGGGGATATAAATTTGGTTTGAAAGGAAAACAGAACTGCAGAGTGACCTGGAATCCACTGTCTGCCCTGGGGTTCTGCTGCGGAGGCTTCATGTCTTCTCCTGGGGTTTCAGGGGATGAGGTTATGAGGTCCGTGGCTTCCCCAGGAGCGTTCTGTGGCTCCCAGCTTCCTCTTCCTGCCTCCCTCTCCTGTCTCCATCTCTGGCTGGCATTTCTCACACGTCAGTCCTTGGCCATTCATCTTACAATTTGGGTTATATGTGCACACCACCAGTCCTTTTCTCAGTTTGTATTTTCCTTTTAGTCACTTAAACTTTTTTCTTGAATACGTATTTGGAAATGAAACTTGCAGTCCCTGCAATAAAGGGAAAACCAGCATTGCTGTCATCCTAAAGAGGAAGCTGGAAAAGTAACCAGATATCACGCTCTAAGCCCATCTCAGCAGGACCCCAGGTGCACAGGGCATGCTCTGAAAACCCTGCCATCAGGGTCCTGGGATGAGCCACCAGCTGGTTTGCTGGGAATTTCGGTGTGTACCACCTGTCCTCCCACCTCCAGCCTTCAGCCATCCCCAGTCCACCCAGGGGTCAGAGGTCATCTGTCTTGTCAAGGGCAAGGTGAGGAGACGAACAGCAGTGTGGGCAGGTCAGCTCCATACATCCCCAGTGGGCTGGGCTAGCATTTGAGTGCTGAAGACTGAAGCTAGAAAGCTGAGAAAGTGTTCTCTAGAAATCGCCGTGGAAGTGGGGGACAGCACAACAGGAAGATCATGAAGATGCTGGCTTTGCAGCTGGTGGACCTGCTCGGCTCTTCGCTCCTTAGCGCGATGTGCTTTGCGCATGTCTTTCACAAGATGCAAGTGGTCCCGTGTTACTCATGGAAAGTGCAACCTCCATCCCTGGGTCACCACTTAGTGACCTACCCAGACCTGGGGCACGGCCTCTGCAGTAGAACCCGAGGCTGGTGAAGGCCCCGGCAGATGGCAGCCATGGGAAAGAGGGCGAGGGCTGCGACGGCAGAGGAGCAAGAGAGAGCAGAGGTCCATAGGTATGCGGGAGGCCGGGTGTGCAGGAGAAGAGGCAGACAGGGGTGCAGGAGCGGAGAGGCATGGGAGCTGGATGTGGAGGAAGGCCCTGGGCAGCGTCTGAGGGCCCTAGAGAGAGGCAGGACGCGCAGGATCTGATGCTGAGAAATAAACAGCTCTGGTGACTGACGGGGACAACCTCAGTCCAGGCAGGAGCTCTAAAGGCGAGCGGGGGAGGTGGGCAGGAGAAGGCAAGTTCGGGGTGAGCCAACACGGAGAGCCCCCGGGAGGGGTGGGATGAAGGTGTGGCCCTGGGCCCACGGGCGTTGTGCTGGTCACCTCTGCGTCACTGGGACACACACAGCTTAGAGGAGGAAAGGTTGGCATTGGCTCGGCTCTCAGAGGTGTCAGCTCACAGCTGGCTCCGGGGCAGGAACGGGGTGGCAGAGGAAAGCCGCCGGACTCCGGCATCCGAGGAAGAGAGGGAGCAGGAGAGGGCCAGAGTGAGAGAAGGGGGGAACGGGCTGCACCCTCTCCGGTCTCGCCCCAGCTCCTAGGCGTGTTCAGCCATCAGCACTTCAGCGGGTTAATCCCCTGAGGAAGTTAGGGTCCCCATAGTCTGGCACTTCCCAAGCCGAAGCCCGCCTCTGACACATGGCCAGGTGCCCTTGATCCAAACTGTAGCCAAGTGTGGAAGAGGGGACCAAAGCTAGAGGGGCACTTGGGAAGGTTCCGAGAGCAGAGCCCTGGAAGCAGGAAGAGGAGCCAGCCTGGGATGGCAGAGCGGGAGAGGGTGGATGTGGAGGTGGGAAAGATGGCAGCGGATGACGAGTGGAGGTGGTGATGCTGGGGTGCAGCTGGCCCTGGGGTGCAGATGGTGGAATTGGTGGAGACGGTGATGGTTGAGGTGGTGTGTGCGTGTGTGTGCTCACATGTGTACGTGTCCCCATACGCCCATGACATGCCTGGCTCTACCTGCATGCTTCATGAGGCAGCGTTGCCCAGGGGACCCAGAAACCTGGCAGTGACTGCAGTTGAGCTGTAGCCAAGAGCTCTTGGCCCTGGAGGAGCCCTGGGAGCCCAGGACACCCTCTGCTCCCTGGAAGCAGCAGGAACACGGCCTCCCGCTGCTCCGCTTCCCTCCACTCTGCTGGGCCTTAGCCTCATGCTGGAGTCTGTGCTGTCTGTAAGCAAAAGGCCGCTTGTCCAGAGCACACAGGTGCTACACAGAGGCATGCTGGGGCCCCTGAGGTGCCAGGCCCTGTCCCTGCACGAGAGGCTCAGCGAGAAATGGCATGGATCCTGTGCCGTCCTCCAGGGCTCAGCACTCGGTGAGCAGTCCTCAAAGGCAGACTCAAAGGAGTGGGGGACAGAGTCCTCGGGACAGCCTCCTCGGAGAGGCCATAGTAGATCAGGGCAGCCAGGAAGAGCATCCAGGCAGAGGGAGCTGCGCCTGCAAAGGTCCTGCGGCACAAGAGAGGAGGAGCCCAGAGAAAGGACCTCGGTGACCTCCCCGCCCACCTACGGCCAGGCCACACCCTCAGGACCTCCCCTATCTGGAGAGATGAGGCTGGTCTCCAGGACCAGGGCCTCCTGCCCTCCGGCCCACCCTGAGGCCCCCGCTTCCCAGGTTCGCCCGCCCTGGTGCTCTCCCCCTGCTCTACCCGAGCCGGCCGCCAGTCACACATGCCGTCCCCTGTCCTGCGTGCTGTCTCCTGACAAGTCAGCTCCCTCCTAGGAGGCCCTGGCCGCGCCTGTCTCTGGACTTCTCTGCTGATGACACTCAGGGCTGTGATTTACCAGAGGCGTTCCCGGAACTGCTGCTCGCCGGGCGCCGAGACACACTGACCTCCCTCTGCGAGCCTCAGTTTCCACACTTGTCATCTGTGGCTGATGAGAGACATGGCCTCACGCGACTAGGGGAAAGGATGAAGGGCATGAGCCAGGCGCAGTGGCGCATTCCTGTAATCCCAGTGCTCTGGGAGGCTGAGACCGGAGGATCACAGTTCGAGTCCCACCTAGGCAACTTAGCAAGCCCCTCTTTCAAAATGTAAATATATAATTTTTATAAAGAGCTTGGGATGTAGCTCAGTGCAGAGGCCCTGGGCTCAATTCCCAGTACTGAAGGGGAAAGAAAAGGGCTGGATGCAGGTGGTAGCCCTTCCCCAAGGCCTCATGGAAACGGCACCAGGTGACGGTGCTCTGACACCATCCCCAGCACAGTGGCCTGGCCCAGGGCTGATCCTCGAGAGGACACCCTTCAGTTCCTCCAAGCATGGCACTCGGGGGACCATTCCTGGACGTCCCGGGACCCCAGCCAGCCAGTCTGGCTTCAGTGCAGGGCTCTGGCCCTGGAAGCCTGGCTTTCCCCAGGACAGACTGGTCCCGCGTGCACAAGGAAAGCTGAGACCCACATCCCTGTCCTAAGGCCGGGCCACTTCACACCACGCCTCGGGCTGTGGTGAGAGGCAGTGGCCCCTACTGGGCCGGCGCTCTCTAGGTACTTGGCTCTCTGCACTGTTGGGAGGCAACACAGGCAGGGTTTAAAAATACTACGCTCACTTAATCCAGCGCAGAAGAGAGAAAGAACACACAGTCTGTATGAGCAACTCAAATCAAAAATAAATGAGGCAAAAAGAGTCTCCAAAAATAGTGCAGCTTTAGCGGCACAGCCTGCATCATGCAACCAGCTGTCCTCAGCTCTCTGCCGAGAGCAGCATCACAGAGTGGCCGGAAGAGGTAAGCAGACCCACCATCGGAGGATAAACCAGAACCAGCAAAGCGAGGCATG